TCATGACTCTAACAGCTATCCTTCTCTAAAGTTAGTCTAGAATCCCCATCATTTTTACAAAGAATTCATTGAGACATATGTGGACCTATTCATCCACCAAGTAGACTATTTCGCAACTTTTGAAGTGTTTGGATCATATAATGTTTTATTATAGGGAGATATTATATTAAGGGAAAAATAGATCACCTTGAAGATTACTGGGAATATTTAAAAAATTTGTTTAATTGGTTCGAATAAATTGGTGAATAATATGTTTGGTTGGGAGGACAAATTGGTGGGTATGTTATATAGATTACTAAATTATCCTCTTTTTTAAATATTAATATAATAGTATTTTTTATTATTATTTTTTGAATAATTTCTTTTAACCCCCTACATTTGAAATTTTGCTAAAACACTCCAGTCATATGAAACTTTAATTTGTAGCAAAATGACCCCCATTCCAACCCCAAGCCACTAGTGGCAGCCAGCCACCACCTTCGGTCGTTGCCAGCAGTTGACAAAATGGTGCACGACTGGTCGTATATGGTCGACCGTGCATCGGAAAAGCCATTTCCGGCCATGGATCTCAAATCCATGGCCGTTTCACGACCAAATCTATGGTCATTTCACAGCCACAGAAACTTCAGATCTTGCCATTTTCGGCCTTGGACAGAACAAGCCTTACCGGTTCATGACTAGCCAGATCCTGCCGGTCATGCACCATTACGGTGACTGATGCTGGTGGCCAACGGTGGTGAGTAACGGCCAACGGTGGTCTTGGGTGGCTGAGGGTATTTTGTTAACTTTAAACTTTTTTGTGGCTGAGGTGTTTTAGCTAATTTCTCAGAGGTAGGGGGCTGAGTAATTGTTATTTGGTAGATGACATTTTATTAAGGGCAAAATAAGTAAAAAATAAGATTACCTGGTAATGTTTAATCCCAAAGGTGGGGTGGTGGGGAGTGGTGGGGGGGGGGGGGGGGGGGGGGGGGGGGGGGGGATGGATCGGATTACCCCCAAAATTATCAATAGTAAACATTATGGGGGCGTTTGGATCATATAATGTTTTATTATAGGGGAATATTATACTAGCGGAAAGAAAGACTACCTTGAAGATTACTGAGAATGTTTAAAAAATGTATTTGGTTGATTCGAATAGATTGGTGAATAATATGTTTTGTTGGGAGGATAAATTTGTGGGTATGTTATACATATTACTAAATTGCCCTCCATTTTAAATATTAATATAATAGTATTTTTTATTATTATTTTTTGAATAATTTCTTTTAACCCCCTATATTTGATTTTGCTAAAACACCCCAGCTATATAAAACTTTAATTTGTGGCAAAACCATTCCCACCCACCCCAAGCCACTGCAGGCAGCCAGCCACCACCGCTGGTAGTTGATGGAATGGCGCACAACTAGCCGTATATGGTCGGTTGTGCACCCGCAAAGCCAAAAATGGCCATGCATCACAAATCCATGGTCGGAAAACAGCCAAATCTATGTCCATTTCATGGCCAAAGATGTGGTTGTGAAACAGCCACAAATCTGGCCACGAAAAGGCCAGATCTTTGGTCGTGTCATTTCACAGCCACATCTTTGGCTGTGAAACAACCATAGAAACGCCAGATCTGACCGTTTCTGATCCATGGCCGAAAAAGGTCTTATCAATGCCCGACCGACCAAATCCTGCTGGTCGTGCACCATTACGGCAACTGAAGCCAACGACTGGCAGTGGTCTTGGGTGGTTGGGGGTATTTTGTTAACTTTTAAACTTTTTTGTGGCTGGAGTGTTTTAGTAACAATCCCTAGCAAGGTAATAAGATTACCCCCCACATTACCAACAATAAACACTATTTGCAATGAAAGATTACTGTAATACTTTTTTACTTGCAAACCAACACTAGAATCTTGTAAAATAAACGAAGATTACCCCTATTATCTTATATACACCCAGTCCAAATTACCCTTATTTGCAATAAAAGATTCTCGTAATATTTTATTACTTACAAACCAAACACCGGAATCTTGCAAAATAAACAAAGAGTACCCTCATTATCTTATATTCCCCTGATCCAAACGCAGCCTTTATGGTATTGATTAACATATCGTCATGATGATCACATGTTTGTTTATTGTGAATTCGTAATGTTGCCTTTGCTTGATTGCTGGCATAAATCATGAGATTACGAGCACACTTTCTAGATTATTTGATTAAAACAATCTGTTTAGACAATGATGGTGAGTTTTCCTCAAAAACATTAGATGACTATTGCATATCAATGGGAATTGATGTTGAGCACCCAGTACCACATGTACATACCTAGAATGGTTTGGCAAGCGTATCCATTAATTGCAAGAACTTTGCCATTATGTAAGTAATTACTGACTTTTGCTTGGACTCATGTTGTTTTACATGTTATGGCATTAATTTGCCTAAGATTCGTTGCATATCATCGTTACTCACCAATACAACTTGTATTTTGACATCAACCTAATATATCTCATTTAAAAACTTTTGGTTGTGTTGTGCAAGTTCCAATTGCACCCCCTCAACGCACAAAAATGGGACCCATTGTGATTTGGGAATATATGTCGACTATAACTTAATGTCTATCATCAGGTATCTTGAGTCCTTGATGAGGTGATCTGTTTACTCCACGTTTTGCAGATTTCCATTTTAATGAGACAATATTTCCGTCTTTAGGGAAAAAGGTAAAGCCTCTTGAAGCAAAGCCTGAACTTCCTTGGAAAGTAAATTCTATGTCCCATTTATGGATGCAACGAAAGTAACAAGATCATGCATTCCTTCTATCAATACACCAACAAGGATATTGATGTTACCAATGAACAATCCATTCCGGCAGCAATCGATTCATCTGTTACATGGTAGAAGCGTGGTAGACCTGTTGGAGCTAAGGATATTGTTCTTAGGAAACGAAAGGCAAAGAGTCAAATAGATATCAATATTAACAATATTAGGATAATAGACAATTCCACATCTTCTAAACTAACTCTAGAAGAGTTAATACTCCTTGAAAAGACACAAGCCCCTAAAAAGGAACAAATTCCTGAAGAAATACAAGAACATAGAAATTAATAAATCTCTATAAACTATGCTCATACAAAAAGAAATGTGGAGACAATTATCGTTGATGACATATTTTTCTTTGCAATCGCTATTGAATTTATTAATGATGATTTTGACCCACATTTTGTCAATAAGTGTTGGAAAAAACATGATTGGCCAAAATCGGAAAAAGCAATTCGAGCAAAATTAACTTCTCTAGTATAACGTAATGTATTTGGACTTGTAGTCCAAACGCTTGAAAATGTTAAACTAGTAGAATACAAATGTGTATACATAAGAAAATGAAATGAGAAAAATGAGATTACTAAGTATAAGGCTAGATTCATGGCTCAAGGTTTCTTACAGAGACTCGGAATTTACTTTAATGAGACATATTCACTAGTGATGGATGGATCATGTTTAGATAATTAGTTTATTAGTCTAAGAGGAACTTGATATGCATCTCATGGATGTTATTATTGCATATTTGTATGGTATACTAGGTATTGATATCTATATGAAAATCCCTAAAGGATTCAAAATGCCAAAAGCATATAAAGCAAGTTAAAGGAATATATATTCAATAAAATTGCATAGATCGTTATATGGGTTAAAACACTCAGGGCGATTGTGGTATAATCATCTTAGTTAATATTTGATGAAGGAATGATACATTAATAACCCTATATGCCCATGTGTTTTTATAAAAAAAAATGTCAAAATCATGATATGCCATCGTGGCAGTATATGTCGATGACATGAACTTAAAAAAAGTTGTTGAGTATTTAAAAAGAGAATTTGAAATGAATGATCTAGGGAAAACAAAATATTGTCTCGACTTGCAGATTTGGCGTTGTTCAAATGGAATACTGCTCCATTAGTCAAATTATACTAAAACGATCCTAAAGCGCTTTAATATGGATAATGCTCATTCCTTGAGTACCCCAATGGTAGTTCGGTCTCTTGATCCTAAGAATGATCCATTTCATCATAAGGAAGATGATGAAAAGATACTTGGTCGAGAAATACCATATCTGAATACAATAGGTGCATTATTATATTTGACACAATGTACGAGACCAAAAATAGCATTTACAATAAATTTGTCGACAAGATTTAGCCTTGATCAACTCACCGACATTGGAATTGGATCAAACATATCTTTCGTTACATTAATGGAACAAAAGACCTAAGATTATTTTATCCAAAGAAACATGTTAATGATCATAAATTAATTGGATATGCAGATGATCGGTATCTTCTTTATCCCCACAAAGCCCACTCGTAGACGAGATATGTTTTTTTCTTAGAATGGCACTGAAATATCATGGCACTTTACAAAACAAATAATGGTTGCCACTTCTTCTAATTAGTCTGAGATTCTTGCGCTTTATGAAGCCCACCAAGAATGCATATGGTTAAGATCTAACATCCATCATATCGAGAATATATGCAAGTTACCATATACCTTAGATACTCCTACAATTATAAATGAAGACAATGCAACATGTATTGCTCAAGTCAAATGAGGATATATCAAAGACAAAACTAAGCATATTTCACCGAAGTTTTTTTGCACTCATAAACTCTAGCAAAATCGATAGATTGATGTTAACAATACACTCTAGTGATAATCTTGTACATTTATTCACTAAGACCTTACCGACATTAACATTTGAAAACTTAGTATATGACATTAGTATACGATGACTTAAACAAGTAATTAGGTTAAATTTTGTCATTATGAGGGGGGCATTGATCATTAAGGAGAACATCAATTAGGTGGAGTTTTAGAAAGAACTATTATATTGGACATATGTGTACTATACTCTTTTTTCCTTCACCATCTTTTGTCCCACTGGTTTTCTAACAAGCTTTTTAGTGAGCCAATACAAAGCATGATGAGCACCACTTTGCAGTTTCACTATAAGGTTGTATTTCTTTACTTGCAACTTTTTGCCAACCAAATCACTGATTACATCACATCTAACCAAAAGCAAATTTTGGTCAAGCGCACGGCTACGAACATTACACGTGTACGGATAGAGCTAATCTCAACCGCTAAAATTAGGGTTAGCTTTGCCTCTTTCCTCACAAAACAAAGAACATGCTTATTTTCTCCTGATTTTTCCTTGTCAAAATCTAATTTTCTCTCGATTTTTCTTAGTTACCCTTTCTCTCGTCAAAACACTAAAAAGAAAATCTAAAAGCCATACGATGAGCATCTACTTGAGTCGATTATTTCCAAGATCTAATTCAAGTTTTCTCTTATGTAGTGGAAACGCCTTACAATCTGAAGTTTTTCGCTTAAGGGACAAAATGTTCTTGGTGGATGCAGGGATTGGGACCCCCAAAATTTGTATGCAAGATGAGCTTACAGGCGTGCCAATCAACCGAGCCACCAGGTTTGAGAATATGGTGGGATTTAAGGATCTAGTGGCCCGTGAATCACTGATCAGAGAGAAGATGTTGGAGAGATTCTTCATCGATCTAGTGGCCGGTGAATCACTGATCAAAGAGCAAGCAGCCGCCAGGTTTACTGATTTGGTGGGATCCACAGATGTAGTGGCTGGTGAGCCGCTTCTTCTTCTTCCACGAAAATTCAGACAAGAGCGAGCTTGGATGGAACTGAACAAGATTTGGCGAACGAATACAAAGGTCAAAGGCTTTATTATTGAGAAAGTCAGAGGAGGTTATTCGGTAGCCATCGCAGGTTTCATTGCTTTTCTTCCATTCCGTCCTCTTCATTTTAAAAATCAAAGGATGTTGAATGATCGATTCGCCATTGAGAGCCTTAACCCCAAAAGGACGCAATTGGTGGTGTTCTAACAAAAAATAAAAATTGTAATTTTTTTTTTTTTTTTTTTTTTTTTTCTTGTTGAGTTGAAGCTGTTTCTTGGTTGTTTATTTGTTTGTAGGATTGTTGATTTAATATTTGTGATGAAGGAGTAGGTAGAAATGATTTTGATTAATTGGAATGTGTTGATTTTCATTCAGTGTTGGTTTGAGTTTGATTTGGATTATAGTTATTATTTTTGGGTTAAAATTATTTTGTCCAATTCGTGATGTGGAGATTGAACATACACTCACTGGTTTGCGTTTACTGAGATCATGTTTCAATGAGGAACGGCTTGAAAACCCCCGTGATTCAATTTTTCAAAGAAAAACTTGCAGACCTTTCAATTGTAAGAAACGAAGAAAATGGGCATTTTGAAGTGCAATGGAATGATAAAGATGGTAATTCATGTATTTACAATGCTGATGGAAGAGATCTGCATACTGCTCTGCTGCATAGGATGTCCATTGCTTATCCTTTTTGCTCTGCTGTTCCATCTTTTGGTGGCTAGTTCTCAATCAAATCTGGTAATGGTGAATTAACTGTCCTAATTGATATTTAGAACTATCGCTTTTGCTTTGTTTGTGTTTCACCTGGATATATGTTATTGGTGGCAGTTAAAACAAGGGTTCTAGGTGCTGATAACCTGCAGATCACAGGCTTTGTATGTTCTTTCTGTATTCTTCTTGCCACTAGGTAGGATTTTCATTTTTTTAACCTCTTCCATTTCCTCAAATTTTAATCTCAACAAAAATGGTTTCCTTGATTTCTTACTGATTTTTCTGTTTTTATGATTATTCTATATAGACATGCAATCTAAATCACTTTTTTTTCCAGATGCCCCTTCACACTCAAGAATAAAGATTTAACTAATACTTTTTTCGTTGTAATATTCTATATTTGACATTTCTGTATTTCAGTTTCTGGAGGAGCCTTGTGATTCTCAGATGCTTGGAATGCATGATGCCTTTCGAACTCCTGGGGTTTGTTTCTTCTTGATGCTATCTTTATTTTGTTTTTGTCGTCCAACTTATTCCGTTCATGATCATGATCACTTATTTCTTTGCTCGCACAGTTAACTTGGGAGATTAGTTCATTTTGTAATTTTCTAAACAATTGAAGGGCCAAACAACCTAAGAAACATGACAAGCTTATTGCAAAATTTCAAATTAGAAATTGTTATTCTAGGCCTTGCAAAATTATTTGAGCTGCATATAATAATTCCCAACCATCTGCACACTCCAGAAGATTTGTGATGATTAGCTAGTTACTTGTACTCTTACTTGGTGGAGAAACAAAATCCATAAGTATAAGCTTGTTTGTTTCAGACAATTTATGAGTTGTTGCAACAGTGTGGCTTGATATCATTAACTTTGTTATGGAAGATCCTGAAAACTGTTGGGACAATCAAATCATTTATCCAGACAGTTGATTCGTCAAGTGACTATTTATGGTTGTTATGGTTGCAGGCTACCAGCCAAAGGCTATCTATGGGAATGACTCGAAAACGTTGAGGCTGCCTAAGCCTGGTGAGATGCTTCTTTCTGTTCATAGCTCACCTCTCGGTGTTTACAAGGAGGAGAACATGGAAGCAATACAGTGTATGCATTTACATATGAGAATCTCTTATTCTTGTCATTGAGGTGCACATGATTTACATTGTGTTCTGGAAATGGAACTACTTTATCATTTTGGATTACATTAACTACCCTTACTAAACAAAATTACATATGCTTTTATGTTTCATATACGATTTATGCAATACAAATCTGAAATGGATGGTTTAATGTATCCTTGGAACTTGTACTGTATCTTAGTTTTGTTCTAATGTTGTGAATTCTTGATTGCAGTTAGATGAGGATTGACATTGAGAAAATTCTGTCTAATACAAAGTTTTGATCTTAGGTTTTTACTCGATTATACTAAGAGACTTTACAAATATTTTGTGAGATCTTATGGTCGTAGATATAGAATTAGTAAATCAATATTTGATTAAACTTTAAGAATGCATAGGTGAAAAGCCATAGGAGACACGACAAATTGCCCATTTGTTGCATTATTAGGAGGCTGGATTAATCATGTGTATCGTAATTAGGATTAGTTAAAATCTTAATTGAGATTATGTGACGTAAGTTATGTAGGAACCAAAGGTCACCATTGTTTAGTAGCTAACTTCCTGGAAGATGAAGGAAGATTTTGCCAATTTATCTGTTTTTTGGGGAAATTTTTCTCTCCTTAAAAGACTTAGAAAACTTTTAAGTCAACAAGAGTGCACCTTCCGAGAATGGGATTTCCCAATCTTATTAACAGGCATAGTTGTAGGCTCTGTTTTAAAACCTGGACTAGACCGGCCAGTTCAACCGAGAGTTGGCCTGCACTTTGGTCCGGGTTAACATAAAACTGAGAATGTTATTAAACCCGTTTTGGACTGGTAATGGACCGACGGAGCAGTACAAAATCGTCAGTCCAATCGGCATGGGGCTTGAAACAGTTCGCTAATTTTTGGTATCTAATCTAAAAAAATTCGTATTCCTAATTCCTAAAACAGCACCGTTTCATTCTCCATTTCATTTGAATAAAAAAATTAAATTGTATCTTCCATTTTCATCTTCTATTCTTTTTCACTTACTTTAAAATCTACTGGTAAAGAAGAAGAAGAAGTAAGGATAGGGGAAGGAAGAAGAAAGAGAAGAGGAGACAAGAGAGAGTAAGGAAGAAGATTAGAAGAAAGAAAAGAGGAGATGAAGAAGAGAGAAAAATTATAGTAAAGGAAGAAGAAAGAGAAGAAAGTGGCGGGGAGTGATGGGGAGAGAGAGAAAAAAAACTGAGAAAGAAGAAAGTGATGGGAAGTGATGGCCTGATGGGGAGAGAGAAAAAAATAATTAATAATAAAATTGGTAGGGTGTATTTCTTTATTTTAAACTTATAAGGCTTATAGGTAAATTTTAGGGATATAGTAGCTGGTTTCTAAACTTATAATAATTAATGGAATTGTTTAAAGATGTGATTGCTATATACCGGTTAGATTGATTGGTCCAATCGGTTAGACAGGTCAACTCGTGAACCAGTCTCTTGATCGGGTTAACAAACAGTTTAGTTTTTAAAATAATTCAGTCAAAAAGAGGAAAAATTATATCAGAAATAGGTGTAATTGTTTTTATTTATTTACAGACATTATTTAAACTCGTTACCATATTTAATTCTAAGGGTCCATTTGGTATCACCTAATCGGGCAGGGTAGAGTTTATAGAAGAGTTTGTTTGGAATATCCCTTGTGAAAAATATAGCTTTAATATTGTTTGGATAAAAAAATATAAAAAGAGTTTTTTAGAATTAATTTACTAAAAAAGGCGTTAAGGTATAAGAATAAATAACAAGCTATTTTCGCACTCAATATTATCACTTGCATAATTTTTTTTTTTATTTAGCTATTTTTGTGGAGGATATGAAAAAAATCCAAATCAAATAAAAGCTGTGGTCCAAATCTTCTGTACATTCCAGCTGCCAGGAATGAAACTTATGATCACACCAGGCCCAATCCAAGTCTTTTAATTGTCACATATTTCCATCAAATAACAAAATAAGTAAAATATCAATATAATTAAATAGTTCCATATATAGAGATTTTATGTAACAAGTATTAATAACCAAAGCTTGGGTTAGAAAAATCTAATACCCAGTTACCCACAATTAATGATCGACGAAAATCATGGCAACAACAAATGTAGCTCTTGGATAGGCCCTACCTCAGAATTTGAAGGGAATTTAACTAAAAGAATAATGTTATGTTTACAACTAAGTCATACAAACAGACAAAATAAAAGATACAGTAGTCATTTTACGTAAATTTTGTGTAATTTTTGTCTGTTTGTACCATGATTATTAGTATCCTACGATATGATTCGATACGGCTCGTCAACGATACTTATCAAAGATTATATTTTAAACTTTTTGATACGTTGATATGTATCTTATAATATGTATTGGTTCGTATCTTTAAAAATATCGATACAAATCCATACGATTTTATTAATTTCAGCCTAAAAAATTTTTTGAGTCGGATTCGGGTCACCCAACCCGGTTCACTAAAACCCACCCAAATTTACCAATTTTGCATGAAGAAAATGAAGAGGAATATGTGTTGCACATTTTGCATAATAATAATAACACAAGTGGAGATATAGATTTTGACATTGATCATGGAAATGATATGAATGGTTGAGGGGAAATGATATAAATTCTTAATTTTGTGATTAATTTTGATTATGTAATACCATAATTTAAAGCCAATAATATCCACTGTTTTAAAACTCGGACCGGAGGGCAACCCGTTCTGCTGCCCGAGTCACGAGCCGGTTGGACTGTCGATTGGATCAATGATGTCATCACACAGCATGATGATGTCAACACATTTAAAAAACCTGTTTAAATCGATAATTTGTGTAAATAATAACCAGTTATTAGAGAGTAGACATCTTCTAATTTGTGCAAATAATAACCAGTTATTAGAGAAATTAAAATATGGCAAAATACCTAAAAAGAAAAATTTTATTCCATAGATTGTCTCAACAATACATCGTAAACATTTGATGTACAACTTAACAAAACTAAAAATGACTTGAAACTCATAATACCAATAACAGGAACAAGTTCAAAACACCTTTGTAAAGCAGAAAGACTATATTTACAAAGGAGTTCATTAAATCAAAATCTCTAATTCCCTTTCAAATAACAAACCATAACCACCACCACTGTCTATCCTCTTCCACCGCCACTCACAACCCCATTACCAATCCCAACCATCGTTTATCCTCTTCCTCTTCCACCACCACTCTCAGTCGAAATCCCCATTTCCCTCACAGCGAAATGTGAAGAAGAGGATAAAACCACTCTCAACCGCCGTCGTCCCTTCCCTTCCCAATCAGTCGCACCACCATCCTCTTCCTTCACAGCAAATGATGCCACTGTCCACTCCCTTTCACTGTGAGTGACGCTATCATTCTCTTCCCTCGCTGTGAGCAATGTCGTTGTCCTCTCCCCTTGCAGTGAACGACATCATCGTGCTCTACCTTCACTATGAGGGACGCCACAACACTGTCGCCCTCTACCCCTCCTCAGCTTGATTTTCGGCGAGGAAGGAAGACGTCGTTGATTTCTGGCTAGGGAGTTCTGTTGCGATTTGGTGAATGCCGAATGGTTGCGATTTCAGACTTAGGGAGTGGAATTGATTGCGATTTGAGCGGGATTTTTTAGAGAAATTTTCGAAGAGAAGCTGAGAAATCTGAGAAATTTTAGTAGAGAAACTGAGAAAGAGAAGAAGCTGAGAAACAGAGAAAGGAAATAAATGGAATCGGCTGCGCCATAGTGCGTTTGCATAGGGTTAGGGGTTTTTGAAATCAGGCCGGTTTATCTGTCGGTCTGGTTGGACCGGAGATTCATTGACTTTATCTGGGTTTTGGCCAGGTTAAAGCGGTTTAATGCATAATAACGGGTTTGATGTTGACTCGAACCAAACAGGTGATCGGTTCCCGGTCCGGTCCGGTCCGGTTTTTAAAACAGTGATAATACCACAAAATTCGGTAATTAATTTTGGAGATGATATTAATTTTTAGAAAAAAATTATTTTTTTATTTGTTTTAAAAGGTGTATCCTATGATACGATACGATACGTGATACATAATTCAAAAAATTAGGTTTTTTGATTTACGATACGATACGCGATTTGACAATTATGGTTTGTATGACTTAGTTGTAAGCAAAACATTATTGTAACTAAAAATCCTGTATCAGTACCAGCAACAAGCATGTCCCAAAAAATTAAAGGTTGGACGGTACATTATTTGAAATACGATATTTTGACTATTTTGAATAGGATAGGATCATCAAATATGATTAAATCAAATAAGATAGGATTCTGATAATATGTTTTGTACATTTTTTAGAGTATTTTCTAAAAATATTTAGATTATTTTTAACCCTCTATATTTGTTAATCCCAAACAAAAAAAGTTTATGAATTAACAAAAACACCCCCACCCACCCACCGAATCGACTGTTGGCAATTGGCCATCACCACCAGATGGTGGTCGACAATTGCTGGAATGGCCCACGATCGGCTGGATTGACATTTTTTGACCAATTCCATCGCGTATCTAGCCAGAAACGGCCAGATCTATGGTCAGAATCTGGTCATTGTCAATGGCCAAATTGGCGCACAATAGGCTAGATCTAGCTAATTGTGCGTTGTTTCGACAGCTTGCAACGGTGGCGGTTGGCAGCTAATAATGGCTTGGGTGGGTGATTATGTTTTTGTTAATTTATAAACTTTTATTGTGAAAGGTAATTGTTATGTTTTGGGTTGAATATAAAATGATTGGATTTTGAATTGAATTCCACCAATATTAAAACAAACACATTTTGTACTATTTACTTTAAATAGGATAATATAATAGAGTTTTAAAAAGTTAAACAAACAGGGGTATCCAATTTTATTACTTTTGGAAATATTCCATCAAGGAAAAATTAAGGGCTTGTTTATTACACTTTTTAGGAGCACTTTTCTACTATCCTATTTAGATTAAACAATAAAATAAGTGTTTGGTTGCTTATTCACAAATCCTATCTAAAAAAACAATCTTACTCGAATCCAACTCAAATAGATAGGATTTATTTTCTATTATCCTATTCTATTCAACTCAAAATATTTAATAATTACCTTTCACAATAAAAGTTTATGAATTAACAAAA